TAAATGGAATCATCTGAGATTCTTTATTACAGTAGTTGAACATTAGAAAACAACCCATATGTCCATGAGTAGGTGAATAGAGGAAAAAATTATTTTAACAGTACAACGGAATATTTCTCTGAAATTAAGAGGAATATAGGAAAGATGAAGCAACATGAATGAACCTAATATTATGCTGAGTGAAGGCATCCAGACACAAATGAGGCCATACTGTATGATATTATATAAAACTTGAATCATGGAGGAAATTTATCCATAGTGAAAGAAAGGAGATCAGTGATTACCTGGAACCAAAGGAGAGGATGGCATGTATAAAGGAACCTATGGGAAAAAATAGAAAGCAGTAGCATGTGATGCTAGATGTCTCAAAGGAGCATTTTAAATAAATTATCACAAGACTGTGATTAAGTAATGTCTAAGGGGTACTAGAAATCAAAGTATGGAACTTGAAATTGTAAGAACAAAAGGAGGTTGTGAATTTGCCCATCACCGAGCAGCAGAGTTGGACAATAGGTTTGTAAGGGAGGGTTTTGAAATGAATGGGCTATAGGGTCAGATTCAGCAATGTACTTTGTAAAACAGGATAAAGCCTGACTGATAAGAATTAACAAATAGCTTTGCCCTGTAAGATGTCACATAAACAGGTATGTCAAGCAGCATGGGTTGTTGACTGGGCCTGAGAACTAAAGTCAGTTCCTGTCATTGCACATGCACTTTGGCAGTATTGATATATGTTATTAAGTAGGTGGACAAGAAGTGCTCAAAGGAAGTGAGGGGTCAGTCAGTTCTACCTGTGTCTTTCAAGAAAGATTTTCTACAGAATCTTGAAAGAGAAGCATTGAGGGACAGGCTGGATCTGTTTTTTCCAATGCTGAGGTTCTCTTTGTCTATCCATGAGGTGTACCAAAGGCTTGATTGAGAGTCCTAACAGCTTTGAGCAGCTAAGGGCTCTCCATAAGATGACAGCTCTAATTAAGCCCTAGAGGTTAGAGCTCTAAAAATCTCTACTGAGATAAGGCACAGAAACTGCTGTGGATGTGCTAGGGTGGATAACTGCATTTGTTGGAAACCACAAATGAGGTAGCTTGTTTCTCTCACAAATCACTCCTTCTTTGGTATGATCTGAAGGTTGCTGAACCTTGAGTCCATTCTCAGAGTTTATGAAATTGCAAATTCTTTTATAGGTAATTAGCTACATTGTTGAGTCCTGACATGGTTTAAAATGTGTTTTGTTATTCATGTTTGAAGTGCCCTGCCTAGTTTGTGCAAAGGTGCTCCTTTAGGTCTGTCTGTTTAAATTACAGTCTTTTCCAGGCTAGATTTTTATGCATACAGAAAATGTGTAAGTAAGGTACTCAATAGACCAAGATAGGAGAGGAAGCTCCAGAGGCTGCCGCACACATGGTAGCTTAACTCTCTGGGTACAATGAATAGAGTCAGTGCTTTCTCTGCTTGCTTCTCTAAATGGCATCTCTCACCCAGTAGGATTTCATTCCGAGCTCTACTTGACCCAGGCTCATGATGCCCACATCCCCAACTGCTAACATTCAGAATGAGGTTCTGATCATTCTTCCTCTTCCAGTCTGAATGACTGTGGGTACAGCAACTGGTTTATCAAAATCCTGGGGTATTGAAATAGTAAGTAATATTCATAGATGGCAAAAATGGAGGCACAGAGAGATTAAGGGAAATGCCAAGATACAAAGCAAGTAAATGGAAGAACCCAGGACTTCTAACTTCTAGTGAAGTACTCATTAAAACTATATAATTATTGCTAACAAATACAAAATTAGGGTGACAATATTAATAATGTGCTTATACTACTATTAGTAAATTATAAATTTTTGATAATACTATTGTTAAAAACAGTAAAATAATAGTAATATTAATTATAGAGGCTACTATTTATAGAATAACTACTCATGTCATGTATTGTCCTATAGACTTTATAAATATCATCTCATTCAATCTCCCACAAATCTCTGTATCATCTAGTATAATGATTCCCATATTTATGCACAATAAAACTGAGGTTCAGTGAGTTATAACACTTCATTCAAAGTTGTATTGTAATTACAAGCATTGATCTGATTTCTGTTGGGCTTGGTCTGACTCTAAAGCTTATGCTGTAAGAACAACACCATATGACTTATATGTACACCTAATTTTGAAAAGATTTTAAAAACTCAGTACACATTAAAAGTGAATTTTAAAAAGAACATAAAAGACTCAATTGACCCAAAAACATGCTCTGGTTTTACAAAAACTCACAAGACACAGGTTTTGGAATTGCCCAAAGGGCTCAATAGAGTGTACAGTAGAACCATTTTCCACAGTAGTTTGTTGCATTATCAGAAGAGAGTCCAGAACTAAAGCAGTGAAAACCCTACTGAACTCAGACCATGCTTGAATCTTGGGCTCAGTTTCAGGGCTGTTCAAAAGAGAACTACCAGGATGGGGAAGAAGGTGAACAAGACAGGGAGGTCATGAAGAAAGCATGTCTCTCTGTGTTCATTCTCGAGATGGGTAGATTCACAAGAAATCATAGCCACCCTTTACAAGTCTCTGTAGACCCATACTAGATAGGAATGGGCAGATTTTTCCTTCTTGTGTTGTCACAGAAGGAGCTTTGAGATCAGTCAGTGGGCTGGAACTTAGACAAGGCAGATTTTAGCTCAAAAGTAGGCTTTTCTAATTTAAAATACCTCTTACAATAATGTAGGCTATTTACTTGTCAATAGAAAGCAGAGGCTAGGGGTTAACTGTTAGGAGTACTGCAGTGAAGATTCCTTTTTCCATGCCAATTGGGACAGGGTGGTTACTAGGTGGCTATTTTACCTTAAAGGGGCCATTTTATTTATTTATTTACTTTTTGCTTTGCTTTCTTTTTAATTTTAATTTTTTTATTATTCATATGTGCATACAATGCTTGGGTCATTTCTCCCCCCTGCCCCCACCCCCTCCCTTACCACCCACTCCACCCTCTCCCTCTCCCCCCCCAATACCCAGCAGAAACTATTTTGTCCTTATTTCTAATTTTGTTAAAGAGAGAGTATGAGCAATAATAGGAAGGAACAAGGGTTTTTGCTAGTTAGGATAAGGATAGCTATACAGGGCGTTGACTCACATTGATTTCCTGTGCATGTGTGTTACCTTCTAGGTTAATTCTTTTTAATCTAACCTTTTCTCTAGTTCCTGGTCCCCTTCTCCTATTGGCCTCAGTTGCTTTTAAGGTATCTGCTTTAGTTTCTCTGCATTGAGGGCAACAAATGCTAGCTAATTTTTTAGGTGTCTTACCTATCCTCATATCTCCCTTGTGTGCACTCGCTTTTATCTTGTGATCAAAGTTCAATCCTAACGGGGCCATTTTAAATGGGATAAAGTAAAGCTCTTCCTCTCAAGTAGGAAGTTGGTGAACTCATCAAATACACTCTCAATGTCTTCCAGTCGCAACTGATTTCATCTTCTTTTTACCCAGGTGTCACTACTGTTCTCACCATGACCACCTTGAGCATCAGTGCCAGAAACTCCTTACCTAAAGTGGCATACGCGACGGCCATGGACTGGTTCATAGCCGTCTGTTATGCCTTTGTATTTTCTGCACTGATTGAATTCGCCACCGTCAACTACTTCACCAAGAGGAGTTGGGCCTGGGAAGGCAAGAAGGTGCCAGAGGCCCTGGAGATGAAGGTGAGATTCAGCAAAGGAGGGGTTGGGAAGCACTTCTCGAGAGAGCTGTATTGGGACCAGGAGTGAGCAGCCTGTAGCCTGCAGGAACTCAGCAGGGCTGTGTGCTATTCACTGGGGTCGTCAATCCAATTCTCAACTGGAGTGCTTCTTGACAACTTGCAGTTTGCCTAGGAGCAAATAAAAGAAAGAATGCATCATGGAGGGTTTATGTCTTGTGGTGTGGAATCAAACATAAGTGTGTTGCTAGGCACAAGAGAAACCCATTGGTACAAAGTCATCCAGATGCTAGGACTCCATCTTAAATCCAGAAAAGAGTCTATAGGGCTGCCTCTGCCCCTCACTTTCTAGTACATTCACATTATAGTCAAACCAAAGTGACCATCATTCATCTCTTCTGTGTTTGCTTCTTTTGTATCAGTTTACCTGAAATTCTGTTTTTTTCCCCTGCCTGGAGAGGACCGGTTTCAAGACCCAATCGAAATGTTTCTTTCTCCATAGATCCTAGAATCGCCTAGACAGACTTAGCTTTTCTGTGGGTAGGCACTACTGATAGTCAAAGAACTTTTTGTATTAAGATTGTTTATTTGCCTCCTTACTAGACTGTGACAATCCTGAGGGCTGAGGCTTATCTATACCCTTGCACAGCATTTGACTCTTAGTGAAAGATAAATAGAAGTTGGTTGCATTTTATCAGTTCCTGAAACAATAGATCCTTACTTAACAAAATAAAGACCCAGGCCTATAAACCACATCCTAGGGATCAGGTGGAGCCAAAAGTACTTTGTACCTCTGTAGCCCTACCCAGACCTCATGACCTGGGGAGGGAATTAATGCCCCAAGTCCCTTCCACCTTAATAAAAACTGGTGCGAGTGTAAAAATTATTGTCATAATCTTCCTCATTCTAGAGACAACCCATTTTCAATCTATGGAAAGTGTATTCTTTTCTTAATAAACTTCCATGTCACTTTCACTACGAAAATGTGGGTTACGTTACTGGATGAATGGAAAAGAAGAAGAATGAAAAATAAACAAGCCAATGGGACTGGTAGGAATTAATCATGAATGACGTGAATTCAAGGTTGTCTTCCCTGGATGTTTTAAATGAGTTTAAGTATCTAGATCTATGCAAAGATTAAGAAATATGCTAAAAATAAAAACGCTGGCAGATGTGATCCAGAACTATTCCAGTACTCTTGGAAGAATCACAGAGAAGATAAATGGTAATACAGATCTTTCAAACTTGGGGGTGTGTGGTCCATCTATGGAATACATAATGGTGAGTTGGCAAGTTTTGAAATATATTTTAACTACTTATTTAAATAGACCTTATTAAGTCTTGTCTATAAATTATGAGGAAAAAGTATACTTCCTCCATCTACTCTATAATAGGGTTTTTTATTTTATTATTATATTTATTATAATTAGTATAGTTGTTACTTTTTGCCCTTAAAATATATTTACCACTATATACCTTGATTTGTCAACCCTGACCAGAATCTGTTGGCTCCCAATTCGTATACTTCAAGACCTAAGGAAACTGGTATACTTATCCTATCTCTTACCTTTGCTTTCTACCAGTTGCTTTCATCTCCCAGCTCTGCTATGCTTGGTCTTGTCAAGTTTTATAACATTTATATCCTTTCATGCAACCATAAATACTATAGTTGTTGAGTCATAGTTTTGCATTTAAATGGGTTTTTGTCTCAAAATAGTCTTTTTATCCATTTTTCCATTTATTGCTCAGTTACCTCAAGGCTATCTTCTTGCAGTTTCTTTAAGAAAGTCTCATGAGAACCATATTTCCTACTTTCTTGCATGTGTAAAATATCTTGTCATTGTGTTTATGCTTAAATTATAGATGAGTTGTTGAACAGTTTGTGGCTCATGTTCTATTTTTAAACATTTTATTTATACTGGAGTGGGTAGATTTTTCTTATTCAAATGTTTAATAACTGTAAAATATTACATTAGTAATAATTCTTTACCCTTGTTCTCTTCATCCAATGACTCCGTAAGCATTGATTGCTATATTCAATTCTGGCATTGAATGGTGTCATCCAGAAATATAAAGCCAGTTTGAGAATTTCTCACATCATAGAAGATTTGATTTTATGCTCTAGAACCCTATATAAATGTATCTTTTATTTTTTAAGTCCTGTTTCTTTATCCTGATCAATTGTATAAATTTTCCTAGGACACATAGACTCATGATTTTGAATGTTTGAGGAAAGCTTTCTTCAGTCAGAACATGGGTTTGTTCTCTTCTCTTCCTAGAAGCATAGATTATGTGTATCATACAGCTTTTTTGTTTGGTCTTCCCATTTCTTCTCCAATAATTTTAACTTAATTTTCCATTTCATTTTCATTCAATTTTCTCAAGCTTATCTTCCACACACCTGATCATTTTCAGCAATTCTTATTCACCTCTATTTCTGTGGTAATATCATTGTCTTTTACATTTATTTTATGATTTCTAAGGACTTATATTTCATGTGTTGCATGTTTCTTTCATGTATTCTCCAACATTGTTTTATTGGTCATTTTTCTCCTTTTGCAACATATTTCACATGAGTTCCATGATAGTTTGTATTCAAACTATTACTTAAAGTTCATTTAAGGATTTCTTTATTAGGCCTATTATATGTAGAAGCATCATTTTAGGGAATGACAGAGTGAGCAGGGCAGTAGTAAGTAACCGAAAGTGAATAGTAGAGAGTTGGTAATTTGAGCATAATTTGTGGTCTATATCATCTCTTACAAGAACTACTCCCTGTAGTTATCTGCTTCTAACTAGCAAGAAGTGTCTCTTGCTCACAGGAAAGCCCTCTGTGTATGGTAGAGGCACGTGTGTGTGTGCCTGCAAGTGCCTGCTCATGCACATTTGGTGTTGTATCCTTTAATTTTCCAGTCTCTACCTCCTGTGCCTCTATGTCGTAGCCAAACAGACTCTTAAGATGTTCTCACCACCTGCATGAAACTGATTCCATTTAAAAAACAGGATCATTTTTTTCCCTCAGGCTATGTTACCCACTTTTTGAAATTCTGTCCTTTTATGAAATCCAGAGAGGTAGGCATTTTCAGTGTCTCCTTCCACTTACCTTTAATCCTTTCCATTGCATAGGGAAACCCTTATGTTTTGGCATCAAGGCCATAAAGATAAAGTTTTTAAAGCTCAGTGGGATATAGCTTAGTCGTAGAGTCCTTGCCTAGCATATGCAAAGCCCTGAGTTTGAAATCCAGCAACACATACACACACATACACACACACATACACACACAAACAAAATGAAACAAAAAAAGAAGATAAAATCTTTTGCTTCTGTCTCTCATTTTCCTTATTATTTTTGATTAGTTCCAAAGAGGAAAAGGAAGCAAAGATGTTCTGACTCTGTCATAGTAAACGGAATGATCTCTAGAATATATTAGAGCAATTAGCAGCAATGTTGATACATAGCCTGAGTTCACAAAGAAGAAAATAACTTCATGAGTTTTTATAAAAGGTTAATGAACTGGTAGTACACTAAGAAATGTCACAGATTTTTATCAAGGCATTTTTGTTTTCTGTGGTACTGGGGTTTGAACTCAGTGCCTCATGATTGCTTTGCAGAAGTTCTACCATTTAAGCCACTTCCCCCACCCTTTTTTGATTTAGTTAACTTGCAGGTAGAGTCTTGTGTTTTTGCCCAGGGCCAGCCACAGACCCAGATCCTCCTACCTATAGCCTCTTCTGTAGCCAGGAACCACAGGCTTGCACCACCACGTCTGGCTTGAGATGAAGTTTGCTAATGTTTTCCTCCCACCCCCAGGTTGACCTTGATCCTCAATCCTCCCCATCTCTGCCTCTCAAGTAACTGGGATTATAGATATGAGCCACCATATCCAGCTGTTATCAAGGCATTTTGATGAACTTTAAAAAAATGCTCCCATGATTAATAGAAAGTTAAAATAGTGCAATTAAGTTAATGTAATTGGTTGACCAATTGAAGTTAAAAAGAATTCACTGACGAATTGACATCAACCTAAATAGAGGTCTTTGGTGATAATTCCTGGGGCGTTTTCTTTGACTCTAACCTCTCAATGTGTCATCAGTGACTCAGCTGAAGACATATAATGGTAGAAATTTCAAATTTATAAGCAAGCAGTAATTAATGTTCATAAGGAGAGGAGTATTTTCAGATTTAGGAATCAAAAAGATTTTCTAAAGTTTGAAAGGACAAGTGAAATTAAAAGATTAACACTTGGTAGATCAAATATAAGTTCTTACATGTATTTATAAAAATTAGTTCTGGGACATAAAAGCTTAACAGCAATTACACATTAGAAGAAATAAAAAGCTGCCTAGTAGCGAGGAGTAGAGGGGGAGAGAGAGGGGGTGGGGGGGAGAGGGAGGGGGAGGGGGGAAGGGGGGAGAAATGACCAAACATTGTATGCAAATATGAATAAAAGAAATAAAATAAAAATTTTAAAAAGAGAAATAAAATGCTGATATATGGGAGAAAAGCAAATTTAATGTAAGCGTATTATGCAGCACAACCCTTGAAAAGGGTTTAGTTCTGAGTTAAGAATTACCTATAACAACAAGTGAGATGATAAGGCTTTTTATCTGCACTGGTTGGGCTCATGTTAAGTACACTGTGCCAGTTTCGTTACCACACCAAAACTGGAGGAGGCTTATTGATATTTTCAGATATGTGGAAGGATGTCATGATAAAGAGATGGAGTGTGGATTTTCTGTCTTTGTTTTTGTTTTTGTGGTCACGAAAGAGGTGCTAGGGGTGGTTTGAAGACAGAGAGGGAACTAGAATACATTGTCAAGAAACATCGAGGTGGAGTGTCAAAAGTGTTAACTTTCTTCAACCAAAGAGTGCAGAAAATGTAACTGAAAAAAGAAACAGAAGAAGTGTCTAAAACTCTTCTTAAAAGATGATGATCTGGTCTGTATCCTTAGATTCTTCCCATGATCAATGTATTTAAGTTATTTATAAGTAGATTATGGGAT